CCCCCGCGGCGTGGCTTCTGCCCCAGCTCCGGGCTGTGTCTGTGCTGGGCCCGCAGGGGGCAGCGACGCGGGACACGAGGGCGCGGGAAGCTGGATGAGGAGCCCTCGTGGCCAGAGCTGCTGGGCTTCGGGTCCGTGTGCGTCAGTTCAGGGACCCAGGCTCAGAGCTCATCGGGGGCGCTGTGCGGCAGGGGCGACGCCTTCTGGATGCCTTCCTCCTCGTCCTCAGGGCCCGGGTCTCCCTCAAGGCTCCCCAGCTCCTTCCTCTGCTTGCTGCTGCTGCTCCTGCCGCCTGAGGCCTTGGCCCGGCTGCTCTTCTTTTTGGACTTCTTCCCTCCCAGGGCGGCTGTGTCGCCTTTCTTGCCGGACCACCGTTCTGCCAGGCAGCCTGGGGGAGGAGCAGGACAGGTGTGCAGCCCCCCTGTCTAGCCGTGGGAACACCAGCCCTCTCCATGCCCGGCCGATCCTCCCTGCCGCCAGAGGGCGCCATGCACCCCGCCCCGCCTCCCCGGCCCTCACTCACTGGTGTCCTTGCCCTTCAGCACGTGGTTAGCACAGAGAAATTCGGTCAGGTCCTTCTCCTGGTGGTTCCTGTACCAGTCCTCGATGACCTCCTCAAACTCTTCCACCAGCACGTCGCACTGTGGACCCAACACTGAGATTGGCAAAGCCAAGCCACCTCACCTGCCCAGGGAGCTGGGCTCAGCGTCGTGACCCGCTGTGATCCAGGCTGCGCTATAAACTGCCTGAGGAAACTGAGGCTCGAGGGGTGAAAGACACCAGTCACCAGCTCTTGGGAGCCTTCGGTGCGGCCCCGATCCCACCCCACCCCCACAGGTCACCCGCACCTTTTTTTTTTTTTTTTTTGCCACTCCTGGGGTTTGAACTCAGGGTCTGGGCACTGTCCCCGAGCTTCTTGGTTTTTTTGTTTTTGTTTTTTGTCAGTCGTGGGGCCTGAACTCTGGGCCTGGGCGCTGTCCCTCAGCTCTTCAGCTCAAGGCTAGCGCTCTACCACTTGAGCCACAGCGCCAATTCCGGCTTTTTTCTGCTTATGTGGTGCTGAGGAATCGAACGCAGGGCCTCATGCATGCAAGGCAAGTGCTCTACCACTGAGCCACCTTCCCAGCCCCAACCTCCACCCCAGTTCTTTCTGCACATCCTAGGCCTTACGGCGGTATCCTCACTGAGTGTTGCAGGCCTCTCTGGGAGCCGCCAGCCTGTCCCAGGCTGAGCCTGAGGTGGACCGTGCTGGGCAGGCCCAGCCAGGAGGAAGGTGCCTGATGACCACCGAACCATGCAAGTGTGGCTAAGACAAGAACAAAGGCTGCCCAGGGCTGGATCTGCAGAGCACACTCACAGCAGCAAGCACACCTATGCACACAGGCCTGGCCCCGGGGAGGAGGCACAGGCCCAAGCACAAGGCCAACCTTGGCAAAGCGATTGCTGCCAGTCCTCTCCTTATGCAGGCTGTAGTCCAGGAGCCGCTTGCAAATGGTCTCAGTGACTTCGATTAACCGTAAGTCCCTGCCAAGACAACGAAGAGGACCTGCAGTTCCTCTCCCCGCCCCGCGGTCAGCGTCCGCCCCGCCAGTCCTGCTGCCCAACACCTGCACATCTCACCAACAGAAAGTCAGAGCTGGAAGGAAGATAGGTCATCTGGTGAGGGGCTCTGAGAGACCAGAGAGACAGCACTGTAACAGCTCTACAGGAAGGATTTTTCGATGTTTATCTTTTGGCGGTGCTGGGGATTAAACCCAGGGCTGCGTGCTTGCCAGAAATGTGCTCTACCACGTCCTCTCGGCTTTGGTGCTGCACTAGAGCATGGCACTGTCACTTAGCTTTTACATTCAAGGTGGGCACTCTATCACTTGAATCAAAGCTCTACTTCTGGCTTTTTGGTCATTAGAGGTAAGATTCTCATGTTTTCCTGCCTGAGCTGGCTTTAAACCCTAATCTTCAGCTTCCCAAATAGCTGGGTTACAGGCACAAGCCACCGGCACTTGGCTCTTTCCATTCTTTTGATAAAGCAAACTATATCATTTTTTTCTTTTTTGGATGATCATGGGCCTTAAACTCAGGGCGTGGGTGCTGTCTCTGAGTTTTTTCACTCAAAACTAGTGCTCTATCATTTTGAGCCACAGTGCTACTTCCAGTTTTCCAGTGGTTAACTAGAGATAAGAGTCCCTTGGACTTTTCTGCCTGGGCTGGCTTTGAACTGTGATCCTCACATCTCAAGTCTCCTGAGTAGCTAGAATTACAAGAGTGAGATACCAGTATCCTACCAGTACCTGGCTGTGTTTTTTGGTAGTTGTTGTTGTTTTGTTTTTGTTTTCGACAGTCCTGGGGCTTGAACTCTGGCCCTGGGCACTGGCCCTGAGCTTCTTTCGCTCAAAGTGAATGCTCTACCACTTGAGTCACAGTGCCACTTCCAGCTTTTTCTGAGTAGTTTATTGGAGATAGAGGTTCACAGATTTTCTTGCCATGCTGACTTCAAACCAGGATCCTTGATTTCAGCCTCCTAAATAGTTTGGATTACAGGCATGAGCCACCAATACCCAGCTTTGTGTTTTTTTTGTTGTTGTTGTTGGTTGTGGAGCCTGAACTCTGGGTCTGGGTGCTGTCCTCAGCTCTTCAGCTCAAGGCTAGCGCTCTACCACTTGAGCCACAG